GTCAAAATACAACTTTCATTTTCTTTTTGCAAATACGCATATTATATATAGCCAAAGTCAACTAATTTTACATTAGAAGTTAAAACATTTGAAGTATATTAATTATGTCAAACTTAATTAAAAATCACAACATGCTACTATATGTTAACTAAATACAGAAAACGTTGACAAGAGCTGTAATTAAACGTTTATCAAGTATCTATCTCATCAACCCCAAAACCAAAAGAAAATTATTGTTTTCGTCTTTACATATAATGGCAGCTGGATTTATGTTAAAATAAGTCTTCTGTGGGGCCCGTCCCAATATAAAGATACCAAATAGTCAGAGAACACAGAAAAGGAAGAGGCTTTTTTTTCTTTTTTGATCGAAAGGAAGAGGCGCTTATATGTTAAACGTCATCGTTTCATGGACCGAATCCAGTTCCTATATAATGTAGTAGATATACGTGTGCTTTTTGTTTGAAAGAAAAGCATAAACACACAAACACATGTTCTTGGGTTAAAACTTTTCTCCTGCTTTACAGAAGTCAAAGCTCAAAAAAGGTATGTTCCTTCGTCTGATGCTTGATTTTCGTGTTTTTTAATTTTTGTTTTCCAGATCTGTACGTTTTAGATTTGTTCTATGTGTTCACAACTTGTTCTTGTTTTGCAATTCTTGTTTTTTTCTTTACTGTTTCGATCTTAAAATCGATTAGAAGTGTAGAGTTGCAAGCACTTCTTGATTTGTTTAGGAGAATCTTTATTATGTGATCTGCTGACAGAAAATTAAATCTTTTATGGCCCTTGCTTTTTAATCCTAAAATGATTGTAAACAGTAAAATCAAACTTGAATGATTTAAGCTGAAACTCCTTATAGCTAACATATAAATCTCGTGTTACATAAGGGTATTAATGTATTAATTCAGTGATAATTGTTGCTTTCAGCAAAAAATGGAGAATCTACCTCCTGGTTATCGTCCCAATGTTGGTGTATGTTTAATCAATTCGGATAATCTGGTAACATTTCAATCATCTGATTCAGCTAGAAAGTTACTGTTTTACCGCTGGTAAATAATAAGTACTGAGTTTAAAAATGACTCTCAGGTATTTGTAGCTTCAAGATTGAATGTTCCTGGAGCATGGCAGATGCCACAGGTGTGTTTTGATCACTTACTCATGTTAAACATATTATTCTGATGTTTAACACCACTCTGGTGGAACTAGATGGTCAAGATTTTGATAAAGAATCTTGAAACGTTTTGAGAATGTACATATTTTGAAATTTAAATCTCTTTTCTCTTGAAAAACGTTCAATGTTGTGAGTTTTAAAAGAAACTGGGGGTGTTACAGGGAGGCATTGAAGATGGAGAGGATCCAAAGTCAGCAGCCATGAGAGAGTTACAAGAAGAAACTGGAGTCGTTTCAGCTGCAATCATCGCTGAGGTCTCTACTCATTTTACTAAAGACATATGATTATGTTAAAAAAAAAAAAACAGAAACAGAACATTTACCAATGATTCTTTATGTTTGCTTCAATGTCGTAAAACAGGTTCCAAACTGGTTGACATATGATTTCCCACCTGCAGTAAAGGCTAAGGTTAACCGTCTCTGGGGCGGTGAATGGCATGGTCAAGCGCAGAAATGGTGAGTCTTCAAACCTAATTGAGGCCAAAGTGTTTGCAAAAAGAGAGAATGAATAGCTCACTGTTTCTGAAATCTACAGGTTTCTAGTGAGACTGATAAAGGATGAGGACGAAAGAGAGATAAATCTAGCAAACAACGAAGCGGATTCAGAGTTTGCGGAGTGGAAATGGGCGAGACCAGAAGAAGTGGTAGAGCAAGCAGTTGATTACAAAAGGCCAACCTACGAACAAGTCATCAAGACTTTTGGTTCTTACTTGAATGATCCAGGAAGAGCTGCTAAATGTAAATCATCCAAGTGGTAATTAGAAAACTTAAAATAAATGTTTGTCCTTTTATAAAGTTAAATATTTTTATTTTCGTTTTTTTTTTAGTGGAACCCTTTTGAAATGCAAAAAGGTTTCTTTAGGTGTTTTTTTTTTTGTGTGTTCATTTTTGTAAATTGGTTACTGGTACTAGAAGGTTTTGGTTTAACTTGGGGTTACTGTAATAAAAGTATTTGTTTGGATTCAAAAAGGAATGACTTGCATGTGTTTCTAACTTGAGGGTAAAGAAAATTCAAAGGTAAGCAACTTCTTGTAATTAGTGCCACGGAATATATAAATGATCAAATCTAAGATTTTTGTATTGCTTATTACCACAAAGATATATCATTCTACAAACCATATAATAAGGTAAAAAACAGAACGGGTTGTGTATGTGTTGGATGGGTTTTATGGTATTAGTCTTTCTTTATGTTGATATGATTAAAGGATTTTTGATAGGTAGAAATACACCATGCGGGACCTTACATGTTTAGTCAATAGAAATTGATGCCAAGAGCGTTTGGTACTTAGTAGACTTATGATTATGCATGTTTAAATGTTTTAGGTCAACAAGAATCGATGGTTGATGTATGATTAGTATAAGGATTATTGTCATGGAAGTGGAAGTGTTCATTTGTATGTGATATAGACCTATAGAACTTGTTAGTTGATTATGTTTGGAATCATGATTCTGAAGTTTATCATCTCTTGTAAATTACCTTACCCAATAGCTTGTTTTTATAACATTTTCGTCGGTTTGACTTTGTGTTGATTTTTTCATTTTTTATAGTTTAGACTAAAAATAAAAATTCTTATTATTTGTTTAGATTATGGAAGCTTGTGTATTTTTTGTGTTATAAGTATTTTGGTGGATTCGATCTTAAAGTGTTACAATAATCTATTTGATATGTGATTAGTTACCCATTCAAAGTCTTGTCAGTTTGGTGCTTGTGTCAATTTTGAGAGCAGAGATAGGAGTTCCTATGTCTTGAGTGTCCAGAGTTCATTGTATATTTTTAAGTTTATGTGTAACTAACTAATACTACAAATATAAGTATCATTCATCTTTAATTTGTGAGCATTGTGTCTTAAGAGGCGTTGATTATAACTAATCCAAGTCAAATGGCAATCTAGCCTATTCAGGTTTTGATTAGATATCTATTGGTGCAGCCACGGCTACCTTGCCTTTGACATCAAGTTAATAGGCTTTTAACTATCCTTTTAATTTAGCACCAGTATTTTCGTCTTGGACTTTCCCATCATTTCGTTTAGTTTTGATTATTGTATTGGGCTTTTACATTATCTTTCATCAAAGCCGTTTGTGGGCTAGATGAGAAACTTAGTATCAGTTTCCTTTTTGCAAGGCAGCTATTGATTGTTGATAAAATAGAGTATGAATTCAAATCCTAGAATTTTTTTTGCCCATTTTCAAAGGCTCATAATTTCTCATAGGCTCGAAATTAGCATTTAGAAATTCAATTTAAAGACTAATATTTTGTACTGATGGTGATTTGAACAAGAGAATCAATCCCCTAACACTGCTGCTAGGCCACCAAAACTTGGTATATCCCAAAAAATCGATCTTTCGATATCAAATTCTTAAGAAACATGTCTTAAAGGTTCATTAGAATCTTTGGGTTGAGGTAAATCTCAATTAGTAGGCTACTGCACACCTACGCCATATATATGTAGGCAAACCAAATAACCGTACTGGTACAGTAGAGTGATGTTATATTCGTCATGCTTACGCTCTAATTACGGAAGAAACCGCGTGGAACTGAACAAGAGACCCATGGCTAGATTACAAGGTTTGCACTTTCTATGCATTTATTGTTGTTTCATTTTCAGAACTTTAAGTTATGGGCAAGTGACCCTCCAGAATTTTATAGACAAAATAGTAGTTCGATCGTTTCGGCAAAAGCTTTGTCTGGATTAGGGCAAAAAAATTGATTGGGGAAATTTTTTAAAAAACTTTATTTTCTTTTGGTGGTGGATTATGCCGTGTCTCTGACGGCAAACATGAGAAAGGTCCGTCAGTAGCAGTGATGGATTTTGGCCTTCATTGCCGTATCGAGTACGTATCCAACTACACATATACTAATTAGGGTGAAGCATTGAAAATGAAGATAAAGTTAAGCTCAGGCTGAAGCATATAGTAAATAGATATGGCCTGGTCCTAATCTTCAGTGTGTTACAATGACCCTATTTGTACCTCATCCATGATTTAAGTCGATTTTGTACTTAAAAGGTATATATGTGGATCCGTATGTTGACAAAAAGGAAAAAGAAAATGCATATTGATATGTACATATGTATATCAGATTTTGTATGATATATATAGTAATAATAAGCATCACACGCTTGACTTAGTTATAACTTTCCTTATGGCCTTAGGGGTAACGTGGTCCCAAGTTAACACGAAAATAAACATAAGGCAAGCAAGTAAAATTCCAAATCTGGACACCAAATTGCTTTGACTTTTAGGCACTGATTTCTTAAATGTCATGCCCACTCTACTGGTTATACATTCTCACTGCATTTGACTTTTAGGATCCAACAAAGTTGTCAGAAAGTTTCATTTTCTGTTTACTTACTCTGGTAATTTGTATATTTTTACTTTTTAATACTTCGATCGATCATATCATCCAAGTACTGTTTTACTCCCTTTACCTTGCAAGAATATAAACACTGGGGTTGTGATTTTTTAATTTTTAAACAAAATAACCTCAATTAAGAAAACATGAAATTTCTTATCTAATATCTTTTTTTTTTTGAACAACAGACTTCCTATCTAATATATCATGGTGCCAATAATCGCAAATCATATTATTCTTTTCGATATACTCCTAAATACGTGTTCCCATCTGAAGGGCACACGTTGTTGTTATAATAAGCTAAGTAGCCGACCAAAAAAATTGTTAATAAACTCCTTTTAAAAATTCGATACCATTTCGAGGGGAATAATATAAAAACATCTGGAATTATCCTTTCTCCAAAGAGTATCCACCATAGAAAATAATTGTTAAGCCATCACTGATATTTTAAATTTATTTTACAATGTCACTACAACACGCGAGAGAACATATTGTCCTTACTATAAAATCCATCTCAAACTCGGTCCATCTATATCCTCTCATCCTTATCCATTTCCCTAAACATACAAGACTATTATCATCATGGCGACCTCACGACTTGCGAGATTCATAACCGAGGTTGCACCACCGCAAGTTGTCACGGTGATGCGGCGAAGAACGGCCAAGGTACTCGACACGATCAAGGAGGAAGAAAGAGAAGTTGGGACTGATCATTCCATGTTTTCCTCGTTTACTTCTCCGTGTTCTGCTTCTTCCTCATCTGTCTCATTCAGTTCCGGTCGGAATTATTTCCCGGTTACAGAGAACCGGAGCTCTTTTCCGGTTTTCAAGAACTGAAAATCAATTCCACCTCCTCCTGCCGAAATAATGGTTTTTCATATGTAATTACGTCAATAGTTGCGTTGTTTCCGGTAGTATGTATGTTGTAAATTTTGGTTTTCCGGTGAGCTCCGTTGATTCGGTTGATCAAAACCGGATCAGCATCGTGAAGCCTACACCGGGTTGACTCTAATGTATGTGGAAGGGACTTTGTTCGTTTTATAAAATGAACCCAAAATCTATAATTCTAGTTTATTGTCATTTCAATTAGGTTGATCAACCTCGAGGAATATTACAAGCACTTGTCCAACGATTAATATCAACATGTTTTCGCTATTACGAACACTCTCCTAAACCCAGGGCCGGGCTTCAATTGTAGCTTATCAAGCATTAGCTTGAGGGCCGCCGGTATGCTTAAAAATAAATTAGGAACAAAGTCATTAAAGATCAGTTAGTTCTGATGGTAAAACTTGGTTGGTAACGTGCGTGAGAGTTTAATTCCCATGCTCTATACATCATAGCATTGAAATGTTTTTTCTTAAACATAAAATGTTTGCAGGGCCAAAAATAAATTAGTTACTTTGATCTAACCTAAGTCTTCACTTTTCCATTAGATCTCGTATGTGATACCTTCGAAAACTCTTCTAACACCTTATCAAACTTGACCAAGTTTATGTATCTATTGCTTTGTTTTAGAAGTTTTCAATAGGACTGTACATCGCCTGTCAGATATTGCTCTTAACCATGTAAATGATTCAGAATTTGAATGAAATACTATGTTGAGTTCCAAAAAAAGGAACACAGAGCTTCCACATTCACAACTTACCAAAAATATATGTCACATACATTCTCACTAATTTATCAACGAGGTATACCTAAAGTACGATCCGAGATAGCTTATTTTGTGGTTTTCTTACGTCAAAATAAAATCTGAGAAAACAATCATGTGCTAAGTCGTCACTTGCTCCCAACATACACTCAAAATGATCGTTCTGATTGACTTTCCAAGTTTCCGTTAATTTAGTTTTATTGTAATCACTGTAATTGAACACACGGATTCGTGGTCGGTATGTTTTTGTTTTCGAGGTCAAATTTACTGATTGCTGGCGGGGAATCTAAGTTTCTTAATAGCAAAGCCATTTTCCAAACCCAATTAATGCTTTTCAATAAAGGAAAAATGTGTTTAATCATACTAATAGTTAACATTTTAATAGGACTAGACATTTTATCCGTTATATCTTAATCTATGATTAATTTTGATTCGAAAAATCTAAATATCCATAATTTATCGAATCAAAGCAAATATTAAATTTTAATTTTCGTCAAAACAAAATAAATCATAAATAATAAAAAAATTAAAGTCAAATATCCGATCAGCTCCGAATTTTACACAAATAGATATATAATGAAATATAGAGTTTTAATGTATAATTTTACATAATATTATTTTAACATATCATTTTATTAATTTTATTTATAAAATTACTTATAGAGTATTAAGATAATATTAAATATTTATAAAATTGCATTTTTCTAAAACTTTGTGTTTATTTAAATTTTTATTATTTTTTAGAATTTATGGAACATATAATTCACTAATTTTTATATTATATTATGTAAAAATAGTTTTGAAATACATATTTGTATTATTTTTTATAATTATTTGTATTAAACAAGACTCCATAAATATTTACAAATATTCATAAATATCCAAAAATCTTTCTAGATATTTGTATTTCTCTAAATCAAAGTAAATTGAAAAATCAGATATCCATAAAATACAAAACAAATCCAAATTTATTTGATCATTATCTTCTATACTAAAAACCAAAAACAAAACAAAACAAAATTTATTTATCTGATTAGATCAGATTATATTCATAAACTTTGGTCTGGGTCAATAACCCATGCCTAATAATTTTATTGACTAGTGTGAATTGTCTTCACCTTCTTCTTTGCTTTTATATATATATTTTTTGGGTCAAATTCTTTGCTTTTATATAATTGATGTGTCTAAGACAAAATCTTTTGGATACTTAACACCCAAGATTTCGTCGAATAAAATTATTAGGCATGGATCTACGACAAAATCAAAATTTATTTGACGTATCTAAGACAAAATCCAAATTTATTTGATCTTAATTATAATACCTTTACAGGGATATAATAATGATGTTAAATCCTTTTTTTTGGGGGGGGGGGGGGAACATGT